ATTTTGTATGACTTGGTTTGGGTTCAGCATCGACCTTGGAGCTATCTGGTAGTTGAGTATACTGACTAGTAGCTGAGGTGATGTGACCAGAAAAGTGTTAGATTGGTTTTAGACCAATGGTTAATTTGATATTATTCCGCTGTGCATAAGTTGAAAGGATCTAAGCTAGGGAATGACTAAGGTAGTCTTGAGCTAGGATATGAGTTAGCCCTCGCCTATGGGCGATGTTTTAAATAAAGGGCAAAATTTTTAGAGGTTCGGTCAGGGTATGGACCGAGCGACGTGAGGCATCGACCGCGGCCTAGTCGGCCGGATCGGGTCTTACATAATAAGCTGTGTTTTGATCAGACCAAGAAAATTGGATCACCCATCAATCTGTTTCTTCGATTGAGGCGGAGAAATTGAAAGAGATGGACTTTGGAGTAAAAACTGTCTTACGTGGACTTATCTAGCTGGCATCCTATGTGGCATACCTTAGAAGGAGTGATGCTTTACTTTATATAATAGATTCATGTTTCTAAACAACACCATAATTAATTTTGTGATTAAAAATGGGAAATTTCCAGAAATAACACTTTCAAGATACCACTTTTCAACTTTACACTAACCAACTTTACCATTAAATTTTTAATAGTCAAAATACTATTAGAATTTAGGGTTTAGGGTTTTGGGTTTAGGATTGATAGTTTAGGGTTTAGTGTTGATTTTTTAGGGTTTAGGGTTTACTTTTTATTTAATATTTATTATATATATATATATATATATATATATATATATAAAGAACAAGGATATAAGAGTCTTTTATCCTTTAATAAAATGTGTATTTTTGAAAATGTTTCTTTGTTGATGGTAAACATGAAAAGTGTTACCACCAAAGTGGTATAATTGAAATTCTCCCTTAAAAAATATAAAACATTAGTTCTCCTCTTTTTAAAAACTTTTTAAACAATTTTTTTCCAAACTATTGTAATAAATTAAATAACTAAAAAATAAAATAATTTATAAAAATAAGAAAATAAATATAACTTATTTTTACAGGTTTTACTACAAAAACATTTGAATCAATAACAAATCAATTAATTTAACAGATGATTTGTTTATATTTCATATATAATGGTTATATCATTTATTTAAGTAACATAATAATATATAATAGCCATTACATAATATATATATGCACTATACTTTGAAAATAACTACATTGTATAAAAAATATAATAACAAAAATATTTTTTTAAAAATGTTCAAAATTTATATTATCTAAGGAAAACATGCTTAACACTAATTGAAAACAACTGATTTAATTTATCTTATTAAAAAAATAATACCTTTGGACCTACCCTTTATTTGGTAAGTTTTTAAATTAAATACACATTTCTACTTTATAGTTAAACATACCTTAAATATTAATATTGTTTTCTTTATATTACTATCCATATTTACGAACAACACTATAATTAATTTTGTATTCAAAGAATATAAAACATTATTTCCCATATTTTTAATAACTTGTTAATAATTTTATTTCAAATTATTTTAATAAATTAAATAATTGAAAAAATGAAATAATTTATAAAAACAAGAAAACAAATAGAACTTCTTTGTGCAGGTAGATACTACAAAAACATTTCAATGAATAAAAAAAAAATTAATTCTAACAAATTATTTTATTTATATTTCATATATGATGGTTATATAATTTATTTAAGTAGCATAATAATATATAATAGCCATTACATAAAAAGATATATATATATATATATATATTATATTTGGAAAATAACTGCATTTTATAAAAAAATAAAATAACAAAGTAATTATGAAAATATATATTATCTGAAGCAAAATGATTAACACTTAAATTGTAAACAATTATTATAGATATTAAATCTAAACTAATTAATAGAATTATATATATAGTTGTGATTTAGATATTCTGAATACTCAATATATTTTGGATCAAATTTGGTTTTATTTATTCATAGGTTAAAATTTTGAATTCTTTTAAATATTTTTGATTTTGGATTTAGTATACTTTCTTAATTGAATTTGGTTAGGTGTTTCTGATATTTTTCTCAATCCTACATCAAACGTTTTAATATTTCGTATGAAATAAATGTATGCTACTAATATAAAATAACTAAATTACACGTGAAAATGGGTCGCAGACAAGTTATCAATTTGAGCTTTGGGTTGGAGAAAGTTTTTATTTGTCAAATGGGTCGGTACTATTCACGACACTATGCAAGTTATAGAGAAAATACACCTTAAACCCTGGAAAAACATATAATTCACCATTATGCCATTGCGTCCTCGCGCGTGAGAGACTTTTTTGATTGTATCGATTCCCAAGAAGCACAACCCATTAACTTCGTCGGCTCACCTGTAATTGGAGGTAACCTACCGGAAATTAATCTGCACCTTTACTCCTCCTCTCGCTCTAACTTTCTCTCTCCAACCAACGTCGTTTGTCTTTCGTTTGTCATCGATTCATCTCCTCACCGACCTGTTTCATGTCCAGTGTGAGTGAAACGACCCATTTACTTGGCAAAATGGTTGTGAAAGGAAAGCAAAGTGGCAAGACAGACACTCGCCGGACCAGATCGACCGCGAAAAGGGTGAGACAACCCCGGCCAGAGAAAAATCAGCGGTATCCAGGTTTGTCGAATCTTTTATTATTTTGGAAATCTTTTTAAAAAAAAAAACCAAAACTTCGGGAACCTCCGGATCTGTGGTCGCCGATCCCATGGATGTCTGAGTCTATTAAGTTCAGAAGAATTTCTTTGCTCAATTATTGTCACTTGTGTTACTAACTTCTTGCGTAATTAAATTTAGCATTATTGGGGTTTCTGTAGTGTCTGACTCAGACGCCGGCAAAACGGGGTAGTCTATTGATGAGACCGCACAAGGATCTTTGCCATTAGCACACCTGGTTGGGGAGGTTGTTTCTTCTGTTTTGAAGTTTTGACCTACGCTATTTGCTAGGAATTGTTACCCAACTGCTTTGCGCCTCAACATTTACTTGAAGGAAAACGTCATCGGTTGTGTAGCAGCTGCTCTTCAAGGTTTGGCGGCTATGGGCGATTTTCTTAACTCTCAGTTTGGTAGGCTATTTGAACTGCTTGTTGTCCTCTGCCACAACTCTACAAAGCTCATTGGCAGCCTCCTCTGCCGTTAGCTCATTACGAATCATAAATTCAAGCTTTGGTTCGCCTTCGGCCGTCATGCTATTTGTTTCTCGCTTGATGAATTCCAGTCCGTCACGGGTTTGAACTGCGGTTCCTTTGATGTTGGAGATTCAGACACTGACAAAACTCCAGGTTCTGCAATGTGGAACCGCCTATTTAATACAACCGTTGGAGACATAACCGTGAGTCAAGTTCTTGACATGCTGCGTATTCCATATTTGTGTAGCTGGAAACGAGTTCCTTTGGCTCTAATAGCTTTGGTGGACGGGGTAATGTGTTGCAATGACAAAACCCTTAAACTCACCCCGAGGTATGTAGAGATGCTCGCCGATCTTGACACTTTCTTGGCCTATCCATGGGGTAAAGAATCCTTCTTGGCTACCGTACCTCTCTTCTTACTTTCTCAAGGCAGCAAAGAAGTACCAGACCCAGTGCAAGCACTACGGGTCCGGTTATCTCAACAAACAACATCTTGCTATGGCTTCCCCCTAGCTCTCCCGTTGTTCGCTTTTGAACCTTTTCCTCAGATCTTGGCTAAGATTCCTAGCGCAAACAGGACTAAAATTGTTTTGGAGGACCCAACAGCTTGTGCGAGCACCGTTACTATCCTCACCATGCATGACATTCTTGCCGTCGAAGCTGAATCAACTGTAAGTTCATTCTCAATGAAATTAATTTTGTTTGGTTTATTAGGTTCCTTCAACTTTTTCTAACAGTTGAGTTTCTGGAATTAATTTTGAATACATGTTTCTTTTGTGCATTAGCTCTCCGTACACATCGACCTTCTGCCTGATAGTGAACAAAACTTGTGGATGGAGGAGGTTCAAAATGACTGTGTAACTTATTTAATTGAGATGATTCGTAGTTGACATACATTTAAACCGGAGGACTTCGTTGGGGGAAACATGTCTTTTGCCCCTAATCCAGAAGTGAAAAGAAAAGGTGTCCGTGTGGCTAAGGACGAGAAACCTGTTGGTGGACCTGTCCACCAGCGCGATTTACATCCATGTAAACCTGTGGTCACGGCCGTCGAGGAGACATTTTCATCTGGAGAGAGTAGAGCACAAGTTCCTCCTCAAACAGGCCGGTGTACACATGAAGATCTGAAGCCATCGATTTTAGACCAGTTGGGAAAGCTGTCGACTGAGTTGAAGCAGCAATTATCTCAAATTGAGAGAAAAATATGCAGGCGATTAGGTCTTCCCGATCCTACCATAAAGACGACCTGCAAGAGGAAGGCAAATGATGATACTCATAGAAATTCTGGGTTTCAGAAAAGTGGTGGCCCCCAAACGCAGCCTCCAACCAGCAGGGCAAAAAAAAAACAAAGTCCACATGTAGTTGCCCTAGCCAGAATAACCAGTCGTGTTTACTTTGGTCGAGAGAAGACAACGGCGTCTCTGAAGTGGTACACCTAAGATATTATGTCTTAAGTTTAAAATATTTGTATATGTTATATGTTCTGAGCCGGTCACCTTTTCAGGGTACCAAAAAAGACACCCCAACGATATTTCAGAGCGAGATAGGTGCCGAAAACGAGTATACCAGCACTCGTACTCCTTCGTTCAATGAAAATGTCGTGCCTGAAGTTAATTCGGATCCTCTAGTTTTGTTATAAGGTTCGTTTGTCATTGGTGTACGCTAATCCTAGGTGGTGTACGTTTTTCATACAGGGTACGCGTACACCCGACGATGGTGGCCTGCAAGTAGAAGAAACTGGGACTCCGGTCATTCTGAAAACCTTGTCCAATGTTCTATTTGCGTTTCCTAAGACCTATGTTTCACGACCAAAGGTCTGTGTAACTGTAACTTTTAATAGTTAGACATTTATTTGGTAAATTATGATAATAAGAGTTTAATGATATTGGCATATCATACACTGTTTGCAGAGTCCTATAAACAACCGTTGCCAGACTGAAAAACCCATAAGTGTTGAGTGTGAGGAAACAAACCCTAACGCTTCTGATCCAAAGGTTCCATCCACTAGAATTGAAGACGTTGGTGAACCAGGTCCTGCTAAAAAATTGAAAGTTTCAAAACCAGCACTTGTCGAACATAAACATTTCGGAGTTCCTTCCCCCGTTGGGGAGGAAGAAAAATATGACAGCTGCAAGGAAGATATCTGCAATGATTCCCAGTTGCAAGAGGAAGTAACCCAAGAGAAACGAGGCCATCAGATTTCAGACACGGACGAGAACTCTAATGATGCGTAGGGTGGTTGTGGTAAACGCCAGCGAAAAAGATCCACCAAGATTCGTGTAGTGTAGTACACCCCAAACTCTAGGTTGAAAGGGTTGTTCAACAGCAAGAAGAAAGTCGAGTATAAGCCCATAAGAAAGAACATTCGAGCGGTTTTTAAGCAGTTTAGCGATATTTTGAGTGAAAACATTTCGTAGTAAGTTTATGGTTCCATTTTCTGATTCCATTGTATGAAATGATGCAAAAAATATCCTTTGGCTGTTTTGATTTGCAGGACGTTCTTGATCAAAACCGGTAGCCACGTGACGAATTCTTTCTTCATTGACATAGCTGAACCTGGGAAATGGTTGTGTGACGAGGTAATATTATAATCAATAGTAAGAAGTTTTGCAACTAAGGTTTTTGATTATAATAATTTCACACAGCACATGCATATCATAATGAAAATGCTTTGGAGACGTAGTGGGAAGGTTCTTCGAGAAGATGGGATTGTAATGTTTGATCCGTACTTAACAAAATTCATTCAATCAGTTTGGGATGCTTTCAGTTAGCAAGAAGATAAGCTGCACTTTGATTGGGGGGGGGGGAGAGAATATATCAAGTTATGTGACAAGAAAGAGCAAGGGAAAATATCTTAAGTTGGAACTTGGCTGCGATGTGGACACGGTGTACGCTCCAATGAATTGGTATGGAAAGCATTGGGTGGGTCTCTATATAATCTGACATAACTCCACGGAACTTGTGAAATTTAGGTGCATGTTGATAAATGGAGGAAGTGCAAAAGTAGAAAAAGTTAAGAGTGCATCATAAGGCCGAAACTAAAAGTTCCACTCAAAACTTTCACATGTGAGTAAACCAACAAAATAATGTGTACCTTACCATTTGGACTATACACTAGACAAAGTAATAAAGTAAATGAAATCCAAATCAAAGTAATCATTTAGTAAACATATTTATCATACTTCATTTACTTGTATCTTCACTTGGTTCGACGTTTGAGATTACCCTGGTATCATACAACACGATTTGATAGATAAGATGAATCTCTCAATTAGTGTAGCATGTGTAAAATGTTATAAATTATTAGTGACAGATGGAAACTCTAAGAAGGGAATGATCGTTTTAGGTAATCAGTGTCATACAAGTTCAAGTGTCCATCAATCATAAGCAACATCAGCCCAATTAAACTTTCTTCCTTAGCTGTGTTTCTGGCTTTAAAAAAAAATAGTATTAAACAGAAACGAAGTTTCGATTCAGCCAAATGAAATTAGAAGTTCTCCAGTTACTCCTGCACAAGCAACATCAGTCAGGGATTTCATTGATTTGGGTGCCATTAACGGATAAGCTTGAATAGATTTCGTGAATTTTGCAGGTTTCATGAGGTTTTGCATAGAGCAGAGACTGAGACTGAGAGAATAAGAATCTATATAAGCTCACAAACGAAAGGAGTCAAGACAATTGCATGTATGCCAATTATAAGAGAAAATAAGGGGGTTTGATGAGAAAGTGGTGACTGGATACGACATAAATAAAGGGAAACGTCAAAAGTTATCCAATAAAAACAAATAAAAAGAAATGGATGAGTGAGTCTGTACTTGGTATCGACAAAAAAATATCTAATAGATAGGCCTTGATAGGTTATAAGAGCATCTCCAATGTATTACTCCATTTTCTACTCTAAAATGGAGTAACTCCAAAATGCAGTTGAGTTTTACTCCAATGTATTACTCCATTTTCTACTCCAAAAGAATATTTTTAATATTATATTTATTTCAAAATTAGGAATATCACCTTTCATTTATACTATTTGCAAAACAGTCCATTTTTAATCTATAGCATTTCTATTAAATACAATATTAACCACAATTAAATTTTTATTATATAAATAAAACTACTCAACAAGGTTTTAAAAGAATACATTTATTACATTAAAAATTACATTATATAGCTTAAACACAATAATACATCAATTCTAAATTATTCATTAGAATTATAATAATTTTCCCACAATTGATCAACTAATGCATTTAGAAGTAAAAAATGAGCTTCTTTATCTTTGATTTCTCTGAAATGGGAAAGAAACTTTTGGAACCTCACATTATTATTTTCTTCAATTTCAATTTTCCTTGACATGACTTCTCTTTCAACTTCAATTGGCACCTCGAGATCACAATCATCTTCTATTATCATGTTATGTAAGAATTTAATAA